CCTTCCCCCACTTGCTTGCTAAAAGTACGAGAGGTTTAGACACTCTATTTTCCCACAATATAGTTGTATTAATTCCCCCTGTCTTCCTTCTCTCCCTCCATCCCTCCCTCTGACCAGGAATTTGTGGCCTATGGAGTCATGAACATCATCGGCTCCTTCTTCAGCTCCTTCATGGCAGCTGCAAGTCTCTCTCGTTCCCTCATCCAGAGTAACGGGGGGAAGACCCAGCTCGTTGGATTCGTCTCGTCCGCCATCATTCTGGTTGTGTTGCTATGGCTGGGACCACTCTTTGAACCACTGCCCAGGGTGTGTACGCACAAACATTACCATGGCAACAATGTTAGATCGCCATAACAACTATATTAGATCTGTATCAGTGCTTATGCGCTTACATAACTCATTGTAGCAACAATGTTTCAACTGTACTGCATGTACCCTTTTGGGACAAAAGCTTTCGCCACCCGCAGAGTATTTTTCAGGAGTATTTTTTTACTCGCATACCACACTCACCAGCAGACATTGTCTGTGAATTTTTTGTGGAGGATTTTGTTGTTGCAGAATTCATTGGTAGACATTCAGCCGGTGCATTTTTGCCCAGCACAGCTATCAGCTATGGCTTGCTAAAGTAATTCAGGACTTCACAATGCTCAAAGGCATGTATCGTTAGCAGCCACTTAGACCCACTTCAACAGCTTCGGATTACACCTCCCCATTTGTAAGGCTACACTAGTCATGTGAGAATCATGTGATTCCTCCATGTCTCACCATACTTTCAGCCTCCCTGCAGTGCCTTCCATTTGATCTCTCCTGTCACATGTATCTGTCACATGACTGTCATGTGATCTCTCCACCATACAGGCTGTACTGGCGGCCACTATATGGGTTGCTCTGTGGGGAATGTTCAAGCAAGTCAAGCACATCTGGACTTATTATAAACTCTCACCCTATGACGTGGTAAAGATCAATAATTATTATGAAAAATTGTGTGAACGGTTTCGCATTTTTTGTATGCACATGAGTAAACGAAATGACAAACCAACCATCTCTAGTACTTTGACTATAGTTGGAGAGTGGAATCTCGTTGTACCTATCCTCATCTATCTCTATCTATTTCGTTGTCCCTACCAGTAAGGGTGTGAACGGTTTCGCATTTTTTGCAGGCACATGAGAGAACGAAATGACAAACCAACCATACCTAATATATTTACTATAGTTGGAAAGTGGAATCTCGTTGTACCTATCCTTATCTATCTCTATCTATTTCGTTGTCCCTTCACCCCTACCAGTAAGGGTGTGAACGGTTTCGCATTTTTTGTACGCACATGAGTAAATGAAATGACAAACCAACCATCTCTAGTACTTTGACTATAGTTGGAGAGTGGAATCTCGTTGTACCTATCCTTATCTATCTCCATCTATTCCGTTGTCCCTTCACCCCCTCTTTACCCCTACCAGTAAGGGTTTGAATGGTTTCGCATTTTTTGTACGCACATGAGTGAACGAAATGACAAACCAACCATCTCTAGTACATTGACTATAGTTGGAGGGTGGAATAGCATAACTACAATCTCGCTGTACCATTACCTATCTTTTTTGCTGTCCCCTTGCTTTTTACTCTACAACCACAGGTGATTTGGGTTGTGGTGTTTGTCGCAACGGTGTTGCTAGGCGTCGACAACGGACTAATAGTGGGTGTGGCCGGATCGCTCTTCATCATTGTCTTCAGAGTTGTCCTGTTAGTGTCCCTACATTAAACCCTTTTCCCACTGCATTTACATACTCATCTGCAGGCCTCACTCTTCCGTCCTTGGCCAAGCACGAGACACCGAAATATTCAGAAATTTGAAAAATTTCCAGGTATGTATAATTATACATGTACATAACTAGTGTTTCCCTGGGAACTTTATTTAGCCTGGACACTTTCTCGTAAATGCAAAATTCAGCACTCCATTGCAGTTTCGAATGGTAATGGGTTTCTGGAGAAGCAAACAAAATGTCCCCTCTCCTAAGAAGCACGCTTTACTCAACTTGTTTGAACTAAAAGGTCGCACGCACCCTCTTTCCTTTCTCTCTCTCCCTCTCCCTCTCTCTCTCTCCCTCCCTCTCTCTGTGAACAGGTAGACGCAATAAAGGGCGTCCTTATCTTCAGGTTCATGGCCCCGATCTGCTTCGTCAATGCGGCCGTGTTCCGTTCCAGACTGGAATTGGAATGTGACCTCCACAAGCGACGACCGCCTGGCGGAGAGGAAAAAGGATGTCTCCAAAAAATTCTTCCCCCAGTAAGTTTAAAGGAACAACTTTCACTTTCAGATTGGAATCTAGGTACGAGTAGTACAGAGCAAGGCAGAGGTCCCTGTTGTCTAGATTTCAACCTCTTAACAGAGGACAACCTCCCTATATAAAGGACACATTGCCTGGTCCCAACGCGCAGGAAATCACAACGAAGGGCGTGTATCGACTCCCGCATGGTATCTACTGCTGTAGCTAGCCCGTGTCAGACTCTCCGCGAGCTACTAGCGGGAGACCACGAGTAAACACTCTCTCACTGTCATTCTCTCCCTCTCTCTCACTCCCATATTTTGGAGGTTCCACTGTAATTACAGTTTCCACTGTTACTTGTCTCCACGTAGCCAGAGCAGGTATGTGGGGAAAGGGGGAGCTATGAGGTGACGTCATCTGGTGAGGGAGGGAGGAGAAGGAGAGGGAGAAGGGTGGAGGAGGGAGAAGCTGAGACTGTTAGCGAAAGAGATCTAAGAGTCACCCCAACTCTAAAGAGAACACAGCTGTACGTGAGACATGCAGCGTTTGTTATTTGTAGAGAGAGAGAGTAGAGAAAGTTACAAGCAAAACGTTTGCTGAGTTGCTATGTACATGTAATTCAATTGGAAAAACTTGTGTATGCCTCTTGAATTGGCGTAGTTTCCAATTTTGTTACAATACTACATTACTTTCTGATTGTACAATACTTATATCCCTGGACCTCCCTATACAGTATCCATACAGTGGTGATAGACTGTGCGCCAATTAGTTTCATGGACGCAGCGGGCGTCAAAACTCTCAAACAACTCGTCGTCGACTTCGACAAATGCGATGTCCAAGTCCTGTTCGCCGCCATGACCGGTAAAACGAGTCTAGCCCCTGCTATAAACCTGTAAAACTGGTTTTCCCGGTTTCCCCTGCAGACCAAAACAGGAATATGTTGGACAGGGCAAAGTTCTATGACATATGTGGCAAAGAGTGGTTGTTTCCTACAATACAAGATGCACTTCATCATGCTCAGTACAGCAGTACACTGGTGGGTGTCATATACCATTACATTACATTTTCAGTTTCAATACTATACTATAGCTGTAATTACGGAGAATTTTTTGGAATTCCGACGTTTGGGAAAAAATTTTTGGGATGCAAGAATGGGGGGATAGCTACTGTAGATTGGGATTGTGTCTTTGCTCATTCTGATATTGGGCAAGAGAAGTGAGCAAAAGGTGTCCGTGCCTGCTTCAACCAAGCCTTTATATACGTATATACTTCTGCTCTGCATGTTCTGTACTAATGTCATGATGTCATGTATGAGGTCGTATTATAATGTGTAATGCCTCTCTCTCCATTATATATAGCACCCAACAAAAGAGGAGATAGGGGAAGAGACAGAGACTGACCTCATTAATGGAGAGGTTCCCTCCGTTCACCCACAACTACAAGAAGAAGGGGAGCCAGAGGTACAGGAAGACAGGCAACCTGCTAATGCTGATGGCGGTGACAGAGAACTGGAAATTGAGACAGAAGTAACGGCCAGCTCTGGTGAAACGTCGACGACCAACGTTTAATTAGCTCTAATAATCATTGCTTATTATTATTTCCATCTGTTATTGTGTATTATTTAATGACCAAGACATGTATTATCATCCTATCTTTCAGAGAAGCTGTGTATATACGTGGCGCGCCTTTCGCTCGCAGAAAACTGCGCATGCGTACCCGAAAATATAAGCGCTCGACGTACGTGCGTAGAAATAGAACGTCGTAATGGCTGGTGCTGCACTGGCTCTGTTTGCCGCATCTCTACTCTGTATCACAGCGAGGCTAGCAGCTGCCGAGTCTCAGGACCCAATCCCCATATTGGCCTGGTCAAACACGTAAGACTATTCTTCCAGAAATCTTCATTGGTGATGATAATGTCTTTCAAAGGGATGCGTTCTCGTCGGTAGCTGTCGATGGAGGGTCTGGTAAAGCAGACTTGGATTCGCTAGTTCAACGGTCGAAATTCAGTGATCTCGGCTTTGTGTTTGTTTTCCGGACTGAGAAGGTAAGTATGGGGGATGAACGTCTACTGTCACTGACAGATTGTCCGGTTTTGCAAAACCTTATAGCCAGCGAGAGATCAGCAAAAGCATTCGCGCTCGTCTGTGTTGTTTTGTTGGATTCCAATCAAAATCACAAAATTATTGTTTTCGTGAAGATTCTAAACTCACACCGTGCAGCAAACCCGCTTCTAAGAACACATAATGGCCCTCAATAGAAACTTAGTTCACACTACAGGACTGTATATAGTAGCTGTATGATGCTGTAGAAAGCTAATGTAGAGCCACCATTGAGAGTCTGTCAGATGAATAGGCAACACTGTTCTGTACATACAACCTCAATAGCTATAGTGAGAGATGTACAGTATTGTGTCAAGCATGCTGACACTTTGCCTTCGATCAGTTTAGCTGATCAGGTACACCCCTGGCATTAACCAGCCACAATTGTAATTCTGTTAAAAGTAAGAAAAAGGATTTCCGTTGCATTATCATGCATACACTGCGTAAAATGTGGTGTAAGGATTATTGCTCAGTGTCAGACATATCAACATTTAGTTCGGTGGTAGAATGCTTTACTGTTGCTTATTATTCCACTGTTCAGTTGACATTTGAAGATGTGGCCAAGTATGGGAGCGTGTACGGAGACGATGAAGACTCCTGTGCCCTCTGCAACATAAAGGTAATCCATTATTGTTTAGCTATGTAGCTTCCTTCCCCACTTGCTTGCTAAAACTACGAAAAGTAAACCAGGTAGTTACTCCTGCACTGCACACTCCAGCTGTAGTCATGCTATTGAGGATGATTGGTTGGCCTGTCCTTCCCTCCACTTGCACTCTAAAAGTACAAGTCTAACCTGAGCTTCGACCCCATATCTAATGTATAGGCAGAGATGGACAATGCAGTCACTAGTCTGTGGACAGGGGGCAGAGGAATCTGCAGCCTCACTGCTCATTGATGAGATTGCAGAGAAACTGGACATGAGTCCAAAGTTCATCTCAGGTGAGCCGGAATTGAAGCTGTAACTACGCTTAGATGACTTCGACATACAAGCAAAACTAACCATCATCCAAACACAATACTGTTCCGTTAAAGGGAATATGGCTGTACAATAAAACAATATGGACCCTGCCCATTGCAAGAATAGTCTTCTGCCACATTCCCTTTAAACAATGTAATGTTCCATCCACAATACTGTCAGCTCTGTTACAGTGCAACTTCTATATTCTCAGGAATGGAGGATGTAGCTGTGATATTTGGTCAGCCTCAACTGCTGGTAGTTGATCTACCTTATGGCGACGGAGAGGCTGAGTTTGCCCAGCAAGGTATATACTGTGTACTTATAGCTTACGTCCATTATTGAGGTCAACATTTCTAATATCACTTGAGATAGCTAGCGAGTGCAACATGTATCTGAGGTGTGCATATGACATAAGAAAATGTATTTTCTGTGCTAGAATGTCGGTTGTATGAAAATTGCCCCCCACAATGACTAGCTAGCTATCTTACATTAATCACAGATGCAATGGTTGCTGAGGTGTTGGAAGCCGTGCACCACCTAGACACCGCTTACGCTGCCTTCTACACTGCCATGACAACGGAGGCTGTCACAGACTCAATGGCACGTCTATATAATAGCAGTATAATCCCAATCAACATGACCTAATTAGGTTTTCATTTGTCACTCCAAACCTAACATTTGGATCTTCTATTCCTTAGAACCTCTTCCAAGCCTGAATTGTAAAATTTAACTCCTTCTCGCCTTTTACTTGTACAATTTAACCCCTTTTTACACCTGTATACATACAATTTAACCCACACCCCACCAACAATCGTGAGTGTAAGATACACTTTCCCCCGCAATCTGCAGTTTGCTCCGCTTTTAGCCAAGAGAGATGCCCCTTCGTTAGCGACATCGTCAAGCTCGTGTCCAGTTTCGTATGGAGTGAAAGACAGCGATGGGTCGTACTGTGCTCTGCTGTGTCTCACTGACCCAACCATCTACTACTGGGAGAGTCAGGCAGATCTAAGGCAGGGAGAAGAGCCCTGCGTGGCAAAGATCACCGCCTTCGACGAAAAGTAACCCACCACCTCTGCTTCTTCATGATTATACCTTTGTATAGTAGGAACCATTTTATAAGCTAACAGTATCATTATCAGCAGACTTGTCTGCTCACTTGCAAAAACATTTTCCCTAGTGACATAATTATGTACCTGTCAATATTATATAGTTTGTCCCCAAAAATATACATTTCATTCAAAAAATTTTGTTCAGCTTAAACTGGTCATTGTTCATGCATGTTGTTGCTAGTTTATCAAACAACCGGATTTTCCTCTTAATTCTCTATTCTCTGGTTTTTCTTGCAGAAGTGTAAGTGGTTGCAACAACTCAACTATTGGACCATATCCCTCAATCTTTGCCACGATACAAGGGAACTGCAGTAATGACGAATCAGATGATGACAATCCCGAGAGGGTCGTTGAAGCCGAAATAGAGTCAGTTTCCTCTAACATTCCATTCACGTGAACCCAAGTTGGATGTAGAATGATATGTGCACATGACTAACAGAACTGTGGTTCCAGGGAGGGTAAAAATTCTCTATTCAAGCGAAATCCTCCTTAATATTATACTTAATGCTGCTGTCCATTTACAGCAATCTACGAAGTATTGTTACTGTTGCGCAGGTTCACATTTCCACAAGGAGAATTTGATCAGACGGGTCAGTGGACACTAGAGACAGGATCCTGGCAAATGATGCTGATTGTCGGTCCCTTCAATCTCAGCAGATATGGCGAAGGGTACGTTGGAAACACACACACACATTGTGTACACAACACTGCAGTGGCAAACAATGCACACTGTATACAAGGACGTAAAGACAAGCAACACATCACATAGAAGTCTTTTCTCGAAGGAAAGAAGCTGCCCCGGGTGGGATTTGAACCCACGACGCTTTGTATCGTGTATCCCATGAACCGTGTGCTACTCTAGTGCCCTCGTTGTATGTCTATTTCCAGGAAACTGGTGTACCCATTCTCCATTCCAATGGGAATCTCGTACGCATGCCAGACGGATTCCACGGCAACCATGACCAGTTTCAGCAACCCAAACCGGTTCACCCAGATTTCCAACGTGACCGTCGACGAGGAAGTAGTTGCCGTCAACAACGAGAGGGGCAGCCCTGTTGTTCAGTTCACTGGAATCCACGTGAGCTTCAATAAAGCCTTTCTATTGGGTCAATAGAAACCCTGAGCTCTTTAGTAATTACTGTCCCCATAGTTAAAACCACCTCTTGACTCTCATCTTTCTCTCGTCCTCTCCCTCTTTTCCTTCCTTCTCTCTCTTATCCCCTTGTTCTCTCCCCTCTTCTCCTCCCCACCTCTCTCTTTCTCTGTCATTGTCCCTTCTCTTTCCAATCTCCTTCTCAGATCCAAGCTTACGGGTACACCAGTTTTAGTGGTGACACCCTAGTGTTCAACACGGTCTATGACTGCAACGGATACTTCACTCTACCATCGACCATGGGGGTCTTCAGTGTCGTCATACTCGTCATCGTCCTCTATATATCGGTGGTGTTTGCCTTCAGTGTTGTAACTGTGGATCGTTTCGAGGATCCACGAGCGCCGTCAATAACTGTAGAAAACTTACACTAGGTCTCGTAATATGGCTGTTAGAGCACCGCGTCTCATAGCAATGCAGTGTATTATACTCATAATAATTATGTAGTGCTACAGTTGATGGATGTATATATAGCACGGGAAATGGAGCTGAAAGTGTAGTGTGCGTGTGTGTGTGCGTGTGTGTGTAATGCTTAAATAAACTACTGCATAAATAATGAGTCAACATATTATGGTTGTTGTACAAAACGAAAAGTGAAACTTAGTAAGAGGTAAATATCTGTATTCTCTGGTTTTGTTCGTCGCTCACAAACAACCGTTTGTTCTTGTCGATGCACATGTGTCGTGGAAGATGAAACATGCCGGGCTCGCTCCCCTTCTTCCCAAAACAGCGAAGAAACTTTCCCTGTGAATCAAACACCGAAATCCGATGGTTCCCGCTCTCCGAGACGAAAATGTTTGCCCCGTCTTTGCTGATGGCAACGCCGAACGGGAAGTAGAGTTCGCCGGGCGCACGTCCCATCTTCCCAAACCGGTTTAACAGGTTTCCGTCTGGCGTGTAGATACACACAACGTGGTTCCCACGATCGGCGACAACGATTCTCCCACGTTTATCGATTGCGATACCGGCGGGATATTTCAGCGGTGTGTCCGAACCGGACGCCCCGAAGTTGTTCAAATAGCGTCCGCTGTCGCTGTAGGTGTGGATGCAGGACTTGTCCCAGTCTGATACGAAGATAGTACCGTCGTGTCCAACTGCCACGCCCCACGGCTCGCCAAGTGGGTTGCCCCGAAGATAACGAGTGTTCATCTTCTTCACAAAGACTCCTGCAATCGTGTGATAATCACGGGATAATCATGCCACCAACCAAGTTTCAATTATGTAAGAATGCTGCAAGACAGGTGAGGGCAAGACGTATAATAATTATATCAAAGATCAACAAGGTCACAAGGCAAAGTCAACAGCAACAAGGACAACTCAGAGCTAGTGGGTGGTTCAAAAAATGTACTATTTACTATTTTCTATTCTACTACTAAACCCAATCCCACCCCCACACTAAAAGATTCTGGCTTCACCCCTGGCATCTGTTATCAGTGAATGATCTGTCAAGGAACACTGTCGCTAGGAGCAACTATCAGTGCCCCCATCACAACAGTTGACACAGAAACAAGTGTTTGTGTGTCCCATCTGCCAAAATTTCAGCCTGGGAGTTGTATACCGAATGGCTTGCCTCCAACTAACACTCGGAGATTTAAACTTTGGGAAATGATTAAACAAGATTTAAACTTTGGGAAATGATTAAACAAGATTTAAACTTTGGGAAATGATTAAACAAGATTTAAACTTTGGGAAATGATTAAACAAGATTTGAACTTTGGGAAATGATTAAACAAAGATTTAAACTTTGGGAAATGATTAAACAAGATTTAAACTTTGGGAAATGATTAAACAAGATTTGAACTTTGGGAAATGATTAAACAAGATTTAAACATTGGGAAATGATTAAACAACACAGGTTGCATTGCATCAATTTTGAGGTATATACTTGCTGACTTCGGGTTACTATTATGCCATCAAAGTATACCGAAGACACTGAAATTTAGGCCTCATAGTAATCACTACAGAGACTCTCCGTCTGCAGAAACTGCACAAACAGGTTTAGGAAAGTGCACAAGCAGGTTTAGTTATCGTGTACCTATCACAACAACAAACGTATATACAAGGGAATGGAGGGGGGCAGATCGTCAGCATAAAATACATACACGTTGGCTATCGAACACCCACAACACTTTAGCTAAAAAGTATATAGAAAGTTTAGCATAAGGAGTTATGCCAGTTATTACTACTATTCCTCAAAACAGTAGTTCACACATTAGGCAATGTACCAAAACCATATCCTAACAAAACTATTGGACACCGACCACGTTATAGCTAAAAAGTGGAAAGTTTGTTTTTTTGGCCCAAAAGCAACACTGCAGAAAATAATATGGTCAGTCGGAATTTTAGCTGATATGCGACAGTAAACAACTATACCCTGAGGAGAAAACTTCTGCAGTCTCGGAGGGCAAAGGTCGCACACTAGCATGTTTCCGTCGCAATCTGTAGTCACTGCCGTCGGTTCACCAAAAGTTCCGTCGCTTTTCCCCTCCTTTCCCACAACCTCGAGACACTTGCCGGTCGACGCAAGGATCCTGACGCAGTGATTGTGAATATCTGTCACAAGCACAGTTCCTGACACCCCACAGCACACTCCACGGGGATACACCGAGCCAGTCGACGACTGGAAGAACGAGGTGGACATGTTTTGCGGGCTCCATATCAATTCGGGTTTGACGACGGTCGGTTGCCAGCGATACGATTCGTTACGGAGGGGTGGTTTGGGTAGTGGGAAATAGATCTCGGCTGCAGTAACATAGATGTCTGTGTTCCCAGTCAAATCTTCCTTCCCTGCTTCATTACCACGGGCCACCACCAGGTCATATTCAACATCAACGGCATTCACCCTGGAAATTGTGTCTGACGAGGAAGATGAAGGAGAGGGAGGACTTGGTTTAACTTTTTGTTTCCGCGGCAACGGTTTGGGAGGCTTGGCGCCCAAAGTGCGACAAAGAACCTCCAGTTTCGTGTCGCCGAGAGGTGGGGGTTTGATCGTGATATCTTTCAGTTTCAAAGCTTCGCTGCACGACGCTTCGAGCGCCTCTCTACCCGAGTTCAACCGGTGTTTCAGCTCATCTTCCTTGGCCAAAATCTCGAAATTTTCCCTCCGTGTTGCTTGCTCCAACTCTCGCGTGCAGTCTCGAAATTCTTCGAGGGACTCCTCCAGAGCCGAACTCCCACGCTCGATTTTTCCCCGACTTGTTTCAATCTGTCCCAGGATCTCTCTTTCGATTTCGGACTCGCGTTTTTTGAGGATGTCGTGAATCTTGGCGAAGTAAGTTTTTGCGCCTTGAATTGCATCCACGCCCTCTTGTGTGACCGATTCTGCGAGTGATTCGATCGAACAGAGAGAAGCTTCGCCGGCTTCCAAAGCCTCGCGTGATTCGGGAATTAACCCTTTCAGCTCTTCCACGTGCTCGGCTAGGACTTCGGTTGCACGTTTAACCCCTTCGTGATTGAGATGCAGTTCCAGCAAGCAATCGCCACAGGCCAGTCTGTTGCAAGTGGTGCAGAAGTAATCGGCCGATTTCTTGGTGTGGGTGAGGCAGCGAAACATGCGCATCTTCTGAACAGATCCACGATTTAGCTCCTCTCTTTCGTCCGGGCTGAGGATTTCGATGATGCGCTCCAACTTGAAGTTCTTTGGAAGACCTATAGCACCACATTAGAGCGAGACATTCTATGAAACTTCACAAGATATATATTATGTGAGGGGGCATGGGAAAAGGGACCTATGTGGCTGGAGTGTGAAAATTAAGTTTTTGAGGGTGAAGAACCACAAAAACTTAATTTTCACATTCCAGCCATATGTGATGACGGCAAGTATGCTCTATGAGCACTAGGCCTAAGCCAATTATGCTAAGAAACACACCAATTATTTAATTAGGTTAATCTAATGTAAATTGCCCATTATTTCAGCATTCACATCCTATTATTCATATTTTTAATGGCAATTATACTGCATCATATTCATCTTTTTAACGGCAATTATATTGGCTCCACGTCCACGAGATCGACGCTTTCCCGTAGGCGGAGGGTTTCTATGGACCGCCCTCTTTCTCGCCAGGTCTGATGGCCTGGGAGCACGCAAGTGAGGCAAAAGTAAAGAAGGTTCTGAGAATGAGTCGCCACTGCCAGAACAGACGCTCGATATATCAGCAGCGGGTGTAACAGAGCTCGCAGATAGAGACGCGGACGACGAGGAGAGTGTCGAGGGATGCGGATACTCCATTTCTGTATACACGGTTTATGGCGGGCTTGGGTGTACACCCGGGTGCACCGGTGTTCATATGCGCATGCGTAGATTGGACCGAAAATTCCCTAAAATTCGCGAATTATGCGAATCCTGGGAAGTTCCTATTATTCCAAGGATTATGCTAGCTTAATTGGCGCAGGCCTAATGAGCACCCAGCACAAATAGAGCCATCATCAAACCTACTTGGTACATATATGTTTCTCCAGCACAATGCCTGAATTCCCTATAAGGAAAGCAAAGTGGGTGTTGATTAGGAAGTAGCTCAGCCCTCTGCTGTTGGTGGTAGTACAGCTAAGTGTATGAAGTGGGTGCTACTACTGCAGGTTGCTGGGGTAACATATACCAGTCCCTTTTACCATGCCCCCTCACATATATAGGCTTACACCACAGCTCAACATGCGAAGTCGTAGTTGCATTTTTGTGTCCCCATCAACTCAAAGTGAAAATAGCACTCATGCCATGAAGAATTCCAGATTCATGGTCGGAAACACTACACCCACTCGTAATGAATTTTGTTGCACTTTCCCATGTTGTATCTACCTAAACCTGGTCCTCTAGCTATGAATCGTCTGGTGCGTGAGTCACCTGGCTGGTGGCTGCCGTCACTAACCCCCCCTACATGCGTAATAACCGTCTCACAGTCAGCCGCAGCCCACGCCACCCTCTTAGCCCAGTATTCAACGCGCTACAGCGGCGGCGGCGAATACACACACGTACGTACACACAAGCACATGTATTTTTGACCAAGGCTAGAAAAAGGTGCGTCTGAACAGCATCGGTTTACCTGTAACTCCGTTTTCAGGGAGGATTATATTAGCGCGACACTCCGGACAGGCGATCGCGATTTCTGCAGACGGAGCAGTTCCTCCGCCACCGGCGGCCGACGGTTTGAGCGGCAGAGGGGGCCGCGCCGTTTTGCGGCTGGCGCTGGCGGCGAGCTGCAGTAGACAGGCGGTACAGAAGGTGTGCTGGCAGGCGAGCGTCCTCGGCTCGCTGAACGTCTCGATGCAGATAGGACAGACTAGCTCCTGCCGCGCGGCCTGGACGCGCGTCCGTGACCTCAGCCGCGAAGAAGAATATGCCTCGCTATCGACATCCAACATCATTTTTTGCTCTGACTGGATTGTTGCTGCTTGTCGGGATCTTCAAGCTACCCGCAGGCAATTAAAGGGGCGTGGTTTGTAATAATCTGCGCGCATGCACTGCATCGTGGGATTGTTCGGGCGACGTTGATCATGTCTGCAGGAAAGAAGAAGAGGAGCAAGACAGCTAGTCAACTCACAGACTTCGCCAATGGAAAGCAAGTAAGGTTGGGCGGCGCGGACCTGGGATCTTACGTTACGTAAGATTCCGCGCACGTGATGCTCAGTGCACCTAGCTCTCTCTACCCCCTGATAATATTGGGTCATGCACAGGGCATGTTCTCATTCTGACAAAACAGGTTCCCGACCGGTTGACAACTAGTCAGGGGTGTCCTGTTGACCATGGCGATTGCACCATGACGATAGGGGAGAGAGGACCAATACCCTTACAGGTAGGTAAGCTTACACCAAAAAATTTGCAAAAAAAATAAAGAAGAGCTGATATTTGAGCCAACATTTTTACAGTATTTTAGTGTTCGCAGTTTCCAGAACGGAGGGAAACATGAGCACTGCACCAGCCTCAGTTGGTAGAGCCCTCTCTATCACACAGAGTGCTCTGCCTTGCTCTGTATGAGTGATTCAGCCCAGCCAGCTGAGCTGCCTCAGTTGGTAGAGCCCTCTCTAGAACACAGAGTGCTCTGCCTTGCTCTGTATGAGTGATTCAGCCCAGCCAGCTGAGCTGCCTCAGTTGGTAGAGCCCTCTCTATCACACAGAGTGCTCTGCCTTGCTCTGTATGAGTGATTCAGCCCAGCCAGCTGAGCTGCCTCAGTTGGTAGAGCCCTCTCTATCACACAGAGTGCTCTGCCTTGCTCTGTATGAGTGATTCAGCCCAGCCAGCTCTCGTTTTCTTATTTTTTTCTTTCTTGTGAAAGTACGTGTCATGTGCCACTTGCAGGATTTCACGTTTTTGGACACTCTGTCTCATTTTGACCGCGAGCGCATTCCTGAGAGGGTCGTTCACGCCAAAGGAGCAGGTGGGTAAGCATTGCCATGGTAACCAGATGTGAGGGTTGATAAGGTCCAACGTATGCCTTTCAATTTCACCAAAAGTGAATGTTGCAAATTAATTTTCCGTTTGGAATTTTTGCAGGTGCTCTCGGGTATTTTGAAGTAACCCATGACATCACACGATATTGCAAGGCTAAGGTGTTCGGCAAAATTGGAAAAAGAACGCCGATTGCAGTGAGGTTTTCCACAGTCGGTGAGTAAAGGTTTGAGGAGGAGGGGTGAGGGACGAAAAGGGAAGAGAAGAGAGGAGAAGGGGGCAGAACGGAGGGAGAAAAGGTGGAAGAATAAGAGAAGGGAGGGCTGGTTGTTACCTCTTTGTCTGTGTATGTACATATCTACCATTGTTCATTCATACATACAGTAGAACCTCCCCGATAAAGGACACTCCTCTAAACAATAGAACAATAAAGGACAGAGGTCCCAAACACTCACTTTTCTATGATTCTATATGTTTAACCTCCAAAGAGAGGACAAGGACAACCTCCCTAAAAGGACAAAATGCATGGTACCAACGTGTCCTTTGTTCAGAGGTTCCACTGTACTCAATAGCTCAACTAAGCATGTTTGTTGTTTGGTATTAAGGTGGTGAGTCGGGCAGTGCGGACACTGTGAGGGATCCGCGGGGGTTTGCAGTCAAGTTCTACGCAGAGGACGGGAACTGGGACCTGGTTGGAAACAACACACCTATCTTCTTCATCAGGGATCCAATTCTGGTGAGGGAGCCTTCTTTTCCCCCCGACCACACGGGGTTCACTTCAAGGGGGGCAAGGGGGGTGCTCGCCCCTTTGATAAACTCTCGCCCCCTTGGAGTTTAACTGAATCTTTTAATAGCACCATGAAAGGTGCAGCTCAGAATGGTGCGGTTGATTTTTTCTCTCTTTTTCAGTTTCCCAGCTTCATCCACACTCAGAAGAGAAACCCTCAAACCCACCTGAAAGTAAGTCACATGACTCTCAGGTGACTCTCACATGTGACCAAACACACATACTAGGACATGGACATGTTTTGGGATTTCATCTCGTTGCGTCCGGAGTCCACGCATCAAGTCTCGTTCCTGTTCAGCGATCGTGGAATCCCAGACGGCTTCCGTCACATGAATGGATATGGATCGCATACATTTAAACTTGTCAACAGCCAAGGGCAGCCTGCATATTGCAAGTTCCATTATAAGGTATAGCATTCCTAGCAGTGGGTTCTAGAACACAGAGTGCTCTGCCTTGCTCTGTATGAGTGATTCAGCCCAGCCAGCTGAGCTGCCTCAGTTGGTAGAGCCCTCTCTAGAACACAGAGTGCTCTGCCTTGCTCTGTATGAGTGATTCAGCCCAGCCAGCTGAACTGCCTCAGTTGGTAGAGTCCTCTCTAGAACACAGAGTGCTCTGCCTTGCTCTGTATGAGTGATTCAGCCCAGCCAGCTGAGCTGCCTCAGTTGGTAGAGCCCTCTCTAGAACACAGAGTGCTCTGCCTTGCTCTGTATGAGTGATTCAGCCCAGCCAGCTGAACTGCCTCAGTTGGTAGAGCCCTCTCTAGAACACAGAGTGCTCTGCCTTGCTCTGGATGAGTGATTCAGCCCAGCCAACTGAGCTGCCTCAGTTGGTGGAGCCCTTTCTAGAACACAGAGTGCTCTGCATGCAAGCTCATATATTGGGCACCTTCAATAGTTACCTCACCCCCTCCTCCTCTCCCCTCCCCAGACTGATCAAGGAATAAAGAGTCTCAGTGTAAGCAGAGCGGCACAGCTAGCTGGCGATGACCCCGACTACTCAATAAAAGATCTGTTTGAATCCATCGCTAACAGGAACTATGTGAGTCACGTGCAAGTCATGTGACAGAGTTTACAAGTCCATTGCAGTTTGAGTCACGTGAATGTCATGTGACGAGTTGATAAGACCATGTGCATGCGTTGCAACATTGCTTGCAGTTCTGTCTCTTTCTTTTGGTAGCCATCTTGGACTATGTACATCCAAGTGATGACATTTGAACAAGCTCAACAACACCAATGGAATCCCTTTGATCTCACAAAGGTATTGTTGTTTAATGGCATTTTCAGTATTATACCTTTTAGTTCATGGAAACATTACACCTGGTGACCTTGTTTTTCCGGTTTCATGCAGGTTTGGCCACACGGGGATTTCCCGCTCATTCCGGTTGGACGACTCGTTCTGGACCGGAACCCGAGAAACTACTTTGCCGAGGTCGAGCAAATCGCGTTTTCCCCCGCGCACCTTGTGGATGGCATCGAACCTTCTCCTGACAAAATGCTACAGGTTGGGGTAAAATTTTACCATGGTGCACTCTAAAATTTTACCAGACCACAAAAAATGCTACAAGTTCGGCAAAAATTTTACCAGAGTAACAGAACTTCTGCAAAATGCAGAAGAGAAAAATTTATTATGAGAAACACAAGTGTTTCCGTGGACACAGAACAAGGACACCTTTTCTTATATACAAGAGAACAGTATATACTTGCATGAGGGCAAAACATTTTCTGTGGAACAAAGTTTAAACAATTTTTTTGCATGTTCCTTGGCATAGTGGAATTCAACCCAAGTTTTAAAAACATTTTGGTACCCCCTTGCAACATTTTTCACCTCATCCTTGTCTCTCTTCCCCTCCCCAAGGGTCGTCTGTTCTCCTACGTTGACACCCATCGCCACAGACTGGGACCCAACTATCACCAGATTCCAGTCAACTGTCCATTCGCAGCCAGACCCGCCCACTATCTCAGAGACGGCCCCATGACCATCGACGACAATCAGGGTATGGCCGGCTATGTAGCTCCCTAGTCTCCTCACGCAGTGTGTGCATACGCCTCGCGCAAGAATTCGCAGTGTCCGCATACGCCTCGCGCAAGAATAGTACGTAGTGTGCGCATACGCCTCGCGCAAGAATACGCAGTGGCCTCGCGCAAGAGTAGTACGTAGTGTGTGCATACGCCTCGCGCAAGAATACGCAGTGTCCGCATACGCCTCGCGCAAGAATACGCAGTGTCCGCATACGCCTCGCGCAAGAATACGCAGTGTGCGCATACGCCTCGCGCAAGAATAGTACGCAGTTTGCGCATACGCCTCGCGCAAGAATAGTACGTAGTGTGCGCATACGCCTCGCGCAAGAATACGCAGTGTCCGCATACGCCTCGCGCAAGAATACGCAGTGTCCGCATACGCCTCGCGCAAGAATTCGCAGTGTCCGCATACGCCTCGCGCAAGAATAGTACGTAGTGTGCGCATACGCCCCGCGCAAGAATTCGCAGTGTCCGCATACGCCTCGCGCAAGAATAGTACGCAGTGTGCGCATACGCCTCGCGCAAGAATACGCAGTGTCCGCATACGCCTCGCGCAACAATAGTACGCAGTTTGCGCATACGCCTCGCGCAAGAATAGTACGCAGTGTGCGCATACGCCTCGCGCAAGAATACGCAGTGTCCGCATACGCCTGGCGCAACAATAGTACGCAGTTTGCGCATACGCCTCGCGCAAGAATTCGCAGTGTGCTTTTCCCCCCACATGACCACTCTTTTCTCCCCCCCACTTCCTCTCAATGTCATTATTAAGTGTGTTTATACATCATGACATTACATACCTTTCCTACCTGCATGCTTGACATGACCATACCTTTTCGCTCATCTCTCATGGCATGATTAGTGTGTTATACATCATGATCATAACTACCTTTCCTCCCACCTGCATCTGCTGACCACTCTTTTCTCCCCCCACTTCCTCTCAATGTCATTATTAAGTGTGTTTATACATCATGACATTACTTACCTTTCCTACCTGCATCTTGACATGACCACTCTTTTCTCCCCCCACTTCCTCTCAATGTCATTATTAAGTGTGTTTATACATCATGACATTACTTACCTTTCCTACCTGCATCTTGACATGACCACTCTTTTCTCCCCCACTTCCTCTCAATGTCATTATTAGTGTGTTTATACATCATGACATTACTTACTTCCTACTGCATCTTGACAGACCACTCTTTTCTCACTTCCTCTCAATGTCATTATTAAGTGTGTTTATACATCATGACATTACTTACCTTTCCTACCTGCATCTTGAACATGCACCCACGGGGTGTGAACTCACACCACTCTTTTCTCCCCCACTTCCTCTCAATGTCATTATTAAGTGTTTTATACATCATGACATTACTTACCTTTCCTACCTGCATCTTGACATGACCACTCTTTTCTCCCCCCACTTCCTCTCAATGTCATTATTAAGTGTGTTTACACATCATGACATTACTTACCTTTCTACCTGTCTCCCCCCCTTCTTCCTCCTTGGTTTAATTTTCCATATTATCTCACCACAGGGCAAGCACCTAACTACTTTCCCAACATGTTTCTCTGGACCAATGGATACTCCCTCTTGCTCCCTCTCCAAAACAACCGTGGTATGTCATGTGATTCTCATGTGATCGCATGAAAATGTCGATTACGTACATTTGCACTATAGGTTACTGGAGACGTGAAACGTTACAAGACGGGTGAAGATGACAATTTCAGTCAGGTGAGCTATTACTACATCATCGCTGACATGGTCACATGATCTCGGATGTGATCACGTGACTGTCAGGTGACAACGTTCTGGACCAAAGTTCTGACAATGGCAGAAAGGGAGCGATTGGTTCAGAACATTGCCCGTAGTGTGAGTGGAGCTGCTGATTTCATTCAGAGAAGAGTGGTGAGCTATCGATATTCTGGACGTCCCAAATCAAATTGGGATGTCCAGAAATTGAATTGGTAGTGCCAACCTTACGCTGATTTCATTCAGAGAAGAGTGGTTGGTTATTATCGTTATTTTGGACGTCCCAAATTCCAAATGGGACACCAAAGTATTGACTGCGATTAGTGGAATGTTGGTTAATTAAATGGGACAGTTTGTACCAATTTAGGCACCAATTGAGGCCTCCACAGCAGGTATTTCTATTATTAGCATTCCAAAATTCCATGTCCCAACATACAACTATATTGCCACCTGTTTACCGGCAATCCAGCTGTATTTCCTCCCTCCAAAGGTGCGCAATTTCTCGATGGTCCATCCCGATTGGAGAGGGAATTGCAAGGCTATTGGAGCAGCTCAGTACTTCTGTAAGACATCAACCACACATTAAAACTGTTTGAAAAGCACTAAAGTGCAACCGGCGAATAATTGACATGACGTGTGCGCGCTATATAGCCTGCCGGAGAGGGCGCGTGCGCGATCGACCGCACGTTTGGCTTTTTCGCTTGTTTTCACGCCATATCTCTGGAACGCAGTCGTTTTGAGGAAAATCGCCACGTTAATATCCATCTCTCCGTTGTTCACAACC